AAAAAAAATTATATTGGATTTTATATTTTTTTTTTGTTAATTGTTATTGTTTCTAGAGTCATGATTCATGTTGTCTAATTATTGTTATTACTATTGGTTATAACTAACACAATTCATAATATTAATGTTGTATTTGTGGAAGTATTTTTAAATGGATTAATAAAAAAATTATTTTACATTATCTCAATAAATTTTTTAAAAAATATTTTTTCTATTAAATTGTCATTCATTCACATCATTTTTAATATTAGATCGCGCAACGCGCGGGTGGCGTACTAGTCTTTTAATATAATGATAGATGGATTTGATGAACCCAGTTTTGGGAGTTGATGTTAATTATGAACCCGGTTTGGGTGTTGACCTATTTATGATTATTGAACCCGTTTGGGAGTTGCATTTATGAAGATGTTGAAATTATTTTTGGAAATGAGTAGCGCCTCAAGTGTTTTGAAATAAATTTTGAAAAATTTATTCTGATTTTTGGCAAATAAAAGTAGGGTGTTACAACATATTTTTAGGAGTCAATCATAATCATAATAAAAGAAATCGGATTGGATCATATTAAATACCTTACGTAAATATATTTTATTTCCCAGACATATGGCACATACACATAACTATATAAACATCACCAACGTTGAACCAAAAATATTCGACATCCAATACATCCCACAAAACAAATTTTTCTACAAGCTTTTACATCACCATTGTAAATGGCTTCAGATTTTGGAGTAATCAAGGATATCAAAAGATCTAATAAGCCACCAATCAAGCTACGCATAATTAGGATGTTCCAACGAGTTGAAGACGTACGCAATTACCGAAATGTTCTTGAGATTATCTTTCACGATTTTGAGGTAATACATTCTTTTATTATTATTTAAATGCATCATTTTATGCAACATTTATAATTTATTTATTGAATTATTCATTATGCAATGTTTTAGAGAGGACGAATTATTGGCATAATTCGACTTGTCATTATCCAAAAATTCATCGGCGATATTGAAGAAGGTGGCGCTTATATCTTGACAAACTATCAAGTGGAAAGCAATATTGGCATCTATTAATCGACGATAGGAAAATGGAGGATCATTATCAATGGTCAAACCAAAATTATCAAATGGAGGGGTGGTTTCCCTACGTATCGTTTTGACTTTAGGAACTTTCTAACTTTAATGGATGTTCGTAACATTGATGAAGCCATGTTGTTTGGTACGTTATAATTTTTTTGTTTATTTCTTATTTCAATTTTTTTTTAATTTAAAATCTGTAATAAACTATTTTATATGTTATACATTTCAATATGATATATTTTCTTATATTTTTGTAGATGTTATTGGATTGGTTGTTTTTCATTATGTTTTCTTACACCATGACTATAAATAAGAGCCAGGAACAATCATTATCGCATGTGGGCTTATTTCTTAAGAAACCAGTGTTTAGTCATGACCAGTTGTATGTTGTTGTCTCCCATGTCACAAACAGAAATGGGTTTGAAAAATCTAATTTGTGGCGACGATGACGTGCCAAAGAATCAAACCATGAACGTTGTATATAAGGACATGTTCAATAAAATATAGATTTTATTTTCATTGTATTTATTAATTTATTAATTATTAATGGCATGATCTTTCATTTAGTAAGTACTTTGAATTTTAATTGAACATTGTTTATAAAAAGGGACGGAGATAATAAATCCCATGCATCGCACGGGGACTGTACTAGTACATAATAAATGTAAATAGAGGTGTACATAACACTCGCACGGAGTGAGGTCTACTTAATTTTTTATTTTTTGTCGATCCTACACGATGTGAGTATTATGTACATCACTATGTACAATATTATGTACCTATAGCATTTCTCAAAAAAATATACCTCGGCCTAACATAAGTATGTAGTTTTATACATTTCCTTATTGCAATCCACAACCAATATTTCTTTAAACTATTATAATTTAGGAAAATAATATTTCTGTAATGTTAGGATTAAAAAAAAAAAAAGAAGAAGAAAATAATATTTTTTTCTCCAAATAATGAAATCTAATTTTATTTATTTATTTTTATTTTGTTTAAAAAAAGTCATCGTATGTTCATAGTAAATGAAGCCTTTCTAGAATATTTTAATATTTATTGAGTCGAGTGAAACTTAATTTGTTAAATAAATTAGTTTGAACTTATTTTAGCATTAATAATTCGGAGTTCACGAGCTTTGACAAATCAAATTATTAAAAACTATAATTTTTTTTTCTTTTTATTTTTGAGA